ATCCCAGGGTCCTGGGATCGAGTCCCGCATCAGGTTCCCTGCTAGGCGGGGAGCCTGCTTCTCCCTCTGCCTCTGCCTCTCTCTCTCTCTGACTTTCATGAATAAATAAATAAAACATTAAAAACAAAAACAAAAACTGGTCTCCACTGGGGAGGAAATACAATGTAAATACGGGATGGGAGGACACACTGCTCAACCCCACAGGGATGGAATAGGATCGAAAGTATCAGCGTGGACCCGTGATTTAAAGAAAAATCGATTTTGTCACTCTGTCCGCTGAGACAAGCCAGGAACAACAGACACATCTATCCAGCACCCAGATCTCGGCTTCTAAATACCACCTTCAGGGCTTCTGCGAGAAACGGTTGATTCCAGGGGTGGGGCAGGGGGAGTGCCTGGTGGGCCTGGAACATCCTGGTGTACCAGAAAGTCAGGAAGTGCCCCAAGAAGGATGGAGGGGCAGTCAGTGTTTGATGGGGACAGAGGTCAGGTTTACGAGATGGAAGGGGTCCTGGACGTGGGTGGTGGGGATGGTGCACGGCATTATGAATGTGTTTAACGCCCACCAAACTGGGCACTGAAAATGCTGAAGATGGTGCATTTTATGTCAAGTGCATTTTACCACAATAAAACAAATTAGGAAAAAATAATAATATTCTTTCTATATGACCCAGCAGTTCCACTCCGAGGCATCCCCCCAATAACATAACAGTCACCATTTTATGGCTGGCACAGCAGTAACTGGCCCAGGCAAGAATCAGCATGGGGTGTTAAATTATCGGGCAGACGTTGGTCGGGGAGCAGGGTCTCTGCATAATCTCAAAGTGTCTTCCTACGGATTCCTTTATTTTTTATTTTTTATTTTTTTTAAGTAAGCTCCATGCCCAGCGTGGAGCCCAGCACAAGGCTTGAACTCACGACCTGAGATCAAGACCTGAGCTGAGATCAAGAGTCAGTGGCTTAACCGACTGAGCCCCCCACCGGGCGCCCCCTACAGATGACTTTTTAGTTACAAAGAGGAAACTGTCTTACTGGACAAGTGTCATGAAGATGGTGTTTGCATCACCAGGGGAGTATGATAAATGGGCATCGTGCCTTCCTGATAGGACGCAGCCGCGGGGAGCTGGTCGCTGCTGGGACGTTCCCACCAGAAGTGTGTACCCTGCATCTGACTGAGGAATCAGCCCACAGATCCACCTTGAGGCACATCCCACAAGATAATTCCAAAGAGTCAAGGTCATGAAGGGTCATGAAAGACAAAGGAGCAAGCCCACGCTGTCTTGTCTGGGATGGAAGGAGACCCACAAGGCATGGAGTTAAGTGCGGGGAGTGATCCTGGATGGGACACGAGCGTGGAGGGAAAGGTGCTATAACGGACGGAATCAGGACGACTGATGGGATTTTCGCTTGGGCTGTACATGATATAATAATATTCTACCAATGTGAGATTTCCTGAATTTGGCCATTGTCCTTTGCTTACATAACAGAAGGTGTTTGTTCATAGGAAATGTTCATAGGAGTGCTTTAGGGTCAAGGTTCATGATGCCTCCAACTCACTCTCAAATTATTTAGAAAAACGGAGGAAAAGGAGGAGAATCTTTTCTATAGAATATATTATATACTTTTAGATTATGTTTATAGGCAGATACAAAGCAAAAAGATTAACCACAGGCAGATCTAGCTCTGGGATCTAGATCTTTTTTCTGCAAAGGGCCAAATAGTAAATATTTTGAGCTTTGCAGGCCAGACTGTCTCTGTCACAATTACTCAACTCTGCTGTTGTAGCCAAAGCTGCCAGGGACAGTATGTAAATGAGTTGGCGGCGTGCCAATAAAACTTTATTTGCAAAAAACAGGCTTGGCACAGGTAGTTTGTTGGTCCTTGACCTAGATGAAGGGTATATGGGAGTTCGTTGTAATAGTTTTGCAACTTCTTTCCTAACTTTGTGGTCAGATTGTGGTCCTTAAATGTCACCTCCCATTAAAAAGAAGCAGGGCTACTTGGAGAAATGGCAAGGTCCAGGGCAAGTGCAGCGTGAGCCCAAAGCATCCCTCTGTGCCAGAACATGAACTCTTAAGGCCAGTGGGGGTGTGTCAGAAGGACTGAGGAGCCCACGTGCAGCGGTCTCCCCTGGCCGGAGACCCAGCCACGTGGGTACAACGAAAGAGTAACACCCGCTCTCATAAAGCATAAAATTCACCATCATAACCATTTTTAAGTGCACAGCTCAGCGGTATGAAGCACACTCACACCGTCCTGCGACCACCCCCACCCTCCGTCTCCAGAACTTTCCATCTCCCCACACGGAGACTCTGTCCCCATTTGCGCGGACTCCCCACCCCCTGCCCCAGCCCCAGCTCCCACCCTCTCCTCTCTGTCTCTGTGGACGGGACTCCTCTGGGGACCTCCTGGGAGTGGGGTCCTGCGGGATGTGTCCTTCGGGGTCTGGCTCCTCTCACTGAGCCCAGTGTCCTCGGGGTCCTTCCACGTCGTGGCAGGTGTCAGGGTCCCTTCCTTTCTAAGGCTGGATTGTATTCCAGTATGTGGATGGACTGAACTGGGTTTCTCCTTTATCCATGGATGGACACTTGGGTTGCTTCGACCTCTTGGCTATTGTGAATAATGCTGTTGTGAACATGGGTGTGCAAGTATCTCTTCAAGACCCTGCTTTCAATTCTTTTGAGTGTTTTTTTTTTAATAGAATAATTCCAGGCAAAAAATGCAGAGAAAATGGAAGTATTAGGATATCACCATTTTTGCCATCCCAAATGATGTATCTAAGGAACGCTCCCCAGTGGCCGCTAAGACCATCAGGAGAAAGGCTCATGGGCAAATTCATGATGGATGAATCAGACTGATGCCCCCTAAATCCAGGGATCAATTTTAACATGGAAGAGAGAGTGAATGAACTTGATGTTCCGTTATGTGTCTCCTGGAGAGGGTCAGAGATGCAGGGACAGGCGCAGAGAGAACCAAGCAGAGGTTCAGTGTCTTCCGGTCGAGGCTCACAGCACCCCCTAGGAGTCCACTCTCATTTCCAGATAGATGAGCTTGCAGGGGTTACAGGAAACAAGGCACATGGTCTTTGACACCAGGGATACCACTTGCCCTGTCTGGAGGCTAGGGTACTCTACAGGACAAATGACCTGGGTTCTTAGATAGATACTAATGACCAAGAAAAAAAGGTTGGGGGATGCTTCCAGATGAAGAGAGTTACAGCAGCCAAATGCCACATGTGGGCTTGGTTTGTGAGCAAACATTTGTGACTTATGCCCATCAGTGATGAGACACGCTGTCCTCATGGACCCAGGGAGGGGTCAGTACTGACTGAGGAGGGCTGGGGTCTCTGTCCTGGCTTCAGGGCAGCTTCCCCTTTAGGCCCAGGGCCCACAACACTTTGTGGGGCCTGTGCAAATTTTTTTAATTTCTTTTTGAGATTAGAAGAATAAAATGAATACAGCAATCATGAATATGTAATGAGCCCAGCCTGGATTTCATTAGTCTTTCTACCAACACTGTTGTAAGAAAAGAATCGTTAAAGGTTGCTTACGCAGGACGAGGCCCACGAAGGCAGCATACGTTGAGCCCACAAACGTCCAGGTGTAGCCCTGACTCGCCTCCCTGTTTTTGTAGGTTTGATATTTTCCACAATAAAAAAAAAAGCTTTCAAAAGAGTCGGGTGACTCCTCGGCCAGGTGACCGAGGTGCACAGTGGTGGCGGGCTGACGCACGTGCTCTTGATACGACACGGCGGAAATGGCCCTTTGTCTCTGTGGTCCTCCGCCCTAAAACCCGTAACCTGAGCCCAGTCATGAGGAAAATACCAGGCAAGCCCCCGCCAAGGGACTGTCCAGGAGATACGGTCAAGTCCTAACCCACTGGGACGTGGGAATGTGATCTTCTTTGAAAACAGGGTACAGGGAATGTGATCTTCTTTGAAAACAGATGTAATCAACTTAAGACGAGGTCATTAGGGTGGGCCCCCATTCACTATGACCGGTGCCCCTATAAGGAAGGAGAATGTAGACACAGACACAGACACAGACGAGAGAAAGGGCCATGTGAAGGCGGAGGCAGAGACGGAGGGGCGCGGCCACAAGCCAAAGGGCGCCTGGAGCCCCTGGAGGCTGGGAGAGGCTGGAAGGATCCTGCCCTGGAGCCTCCAGAGGGAGCACCCTGCCACACCTTGACTCCTGCCCTCCAGAATGGGCAGAGGACATTTCTGCTATGTAAGTCACCCACTTTGTGGTACTTTGTTTTAGCAGCTGGAGGAAATGAATGCAATCCCTGACCAGCAGACTTCAAAACTACCCAGGTCATCAAAAACTGGGGAAGTTGGCAGGTTCTGTCTACCCGCTAGATTGGATGCTCCCTGATTCGTGAATCTCTGGAAAAAAGCCAGTAAGTTCTTTAAAAATCACAAACGAGGAAAGTCTGAGAAACTGTCACAGCCCAGCGGCGTCTCAGGAGACATGACAGACTCAGGTCGCGAGGTGTCCTGGCTGGGGTCCCAGGACAGGAAAAGGACACTAGGGAAAAACAGGCAATCTGAATAAAGGGTGGACTTCAGTTCATAACGAGTCAATGTTGGTTCATTAATTATCCAAAAAAAGGTACCACATCAATGTAGGATGTTTACAATAGGGAAACTGGCTATGGTTTCATAAGACAGCTCTCTGTAGTATCTTCACAATTTTTCTGTAAATAGGACTACTCTGAAAAATAAAGTGTATCTTTTTAAAAGTTTAAAAAAAAAATAGAAAAGGGTTGACTGAATCAGTATCTTGGCTCTGCCATCCCGCAGGCTGGAGCCTCAGTCAAACGAGAGCATTTCTCTGTGTCAGTCTCCCCATCTGAAAACAGAGGTGGGCCGGCTTGTGACACGGCCCTGAGGACAGTGGGGGACGGCCGTCCCGGGTAAGTGGAGCCGTCCCCATCCGCATCTCCCCCTTCATCCGAGGTGGTGGTGGCTCCTGGAGTTTGGGGTGAGTGGCAACACAGGCTGGGCTCAAATGCCGCCCCCCTCCCCCAGGCCGGGGAGAGACGGCGACTCCAGCGCTCGGCTCCAAGCGCATCAGCCCCACACAGCTCCCAGGACGTGCCCTGCCCGGGTGCACGCACACCGCCACCTCCCCCGTCCTTCCCCACGTGGCTACCCCACCTGGGACAGGCGCCCTGAGAAGGGGCCGCGCAGTGAGGCACAGGACGCCCCTAGGAAATCACAGGTCTCCAGACATGTCTTTAATGTCTTGCAAGGGGCCCCACAGAAGGGGAGGGAATAAATACAGAGAAGTTGTAAGATGCAGCGCGCCCGAGCCCCCAGACTGGGAAGTGGGGGGAACGCCTGTGGCCTCAGTTTCCCTCGTCTGTAAACAGGGCAGGACGCACTTTGAGGCGCAGACTCTGGAAGGGACAGCGTTCTCCGGGTCTCTCTTCCCGCCCAGAACGGGAAGTCGCCGCGCCACGCAGACCGCAGGCTGGTGGATGCCGCCTCCCGTGAGGAGGGGAGCTCGGAGTGACGGGTCTGTAAGTCAAGGAACCCCGCTAGGGGGCGCCAGAGCCCGGTCCCTCGGACCGAAGGCCCGCTCCCCCGCCACCGGGCTGGCGCATCACCTCCGTGGGGGTCCGCGGCCTCTTCCCTGGAGAGGACCTACCCAGGGGTGGGGCAAGTCCCCGATGCCTGCTCCCCTCACTTCTTCCCCCACCTGCCATCCCAAGTGGCCGTCGTGCTCCCTTTCCGAGGGGGAAAACGGAGTCAAGGGAGGGCAAACGCGGGGCTGTCCTGGCGAGGGTCGGAGAAAGGAGCGGGCGGCGACCGCCTTCACCCCTGACTCACTCGCGGCCCTTCCGCCACCCGGACCCGCGGCTGCGCGACAGGGGGCACCGGGCTCCCTGCGCAGCGCTCCGCCCGCAGGCCCCGCCTGCCACGCGCGGGCCTGAGCCCGGGGGCAGCCGCGCCTGGGTCACAGCAGGTTGATCTCGTCCAGGTAGCGGGCCAGCACCGAGTCCCGCACGTCCTTGAAGACCTTGCGGATGTTCTGGGTGTCCGTGGCACACGTGTAGTGGCTGAAGAGGCGCCGGGAGCGCGCGCCCCTCCTGTCCCCGTCCGCGCTGTCCCCGCAGCCGGCGTACATGCCGCTGTACATGTCCCGGATGAACCTCTTGGCTGCCTCCGCGTCCTGCTTCGGGCCTGGGGGGCGGGAGGGGTGGGCAGTCAGGGCACGCGGTTCGTGCGGCAGGCGGGAGCCGCTCCCCGCCGAGCCACGCAGGGCGTCTGGAGACCCTGCTCCGGACGTGGAGACATCAGGGCGGCAGGGGCCGCAGGCGCCGGGCACCGCGTGCAGGCCGGCGCCATCTTCGGTCGGTCTAGAGGGTCACATGACCATCGGGTCCAGCCAATGGGAGCCTCAGGAATGGACTCTGATGAGTCACATGACCTGGAATGGGCCAATAAGACTTGGCTCTGGGACTTTAGGCAGAAAGAAACCCTCTCGCTTGGCTGGGCTTGCAACGGAGGGGGTGGGTAGCTGGGGTGGCAGAGAAAGAGCTCTCTGAGCAGTGCCCATGGGTAAACCGAGGCCAAGAGACGGGGAGGGCTGGCCACCCTGGGGAGGCAGCTGACATGCTCAGCCTCTCTGTTTCTGCGTCTGTCCGCGTCTCTCTGTCTTAAGCACAATGCGAGCTAAGGCTCCTGGAGCCCAAGACCTGGCTCTGCTGCTTACTAGTAGGGTTGCCTTATAGGGTAGTCCATGCAACTGCCGTGAGCCTCAGTTCCCTCGTTTGTAAAATGGGGCTCCTAACAGTCCCAAGCCTCCCAGAGTTGTGAGGATTCAGTGCAATCATGTAGAGGGCTCTGTACTCAATAGTCAGAATGTTATCATCATTCTTCCAGGAAGGCAGGGTACCCAGGGGGTAAGGCTGGTGGCTCCTGATCCAGACAGCCTGGGTTCAAATCCTGCCTCTGCCACTCACTGGCTGTGTGGCTTTTGGGGAGTGTTTGCACCTCCCTGTGCCTCGGTTTCCCCATCTCTGTGGTGGTAAGAAGAAAGAATTCCACTGCACAGGGAGCTTCCAACGGTGTTCGATGTGTGAGCTATTGTTATAATCACAGATGTTATTAAGTACAGAAGAGGGAAGGACTGAGCGCCAGAAGTTGGCAAAGAGTACTCCAGCCTCCGGCTGGGAGAAAAAGATGAGTCATGAAGGTTCCCTTTGATGTGAAGGAAAACAATCCTTCAAAACTGTCCACTTTATCCCCATCCCCAAATTCTCCACGCCATGTTCCCATTCCCAAGGCTGCTCAGCTGGGGAGGGAGTAAAGGCTGTCCACCATGCTGGAATAAGTTGACATCTGTCTCCCAGGCCCCCACGTCTTCTGGATCTGATTGGTTGAGAGGGGCTCACATGGGCTCTGAGCCCTAACAAGGCCAAGGGTCACACCCATGGTGATGTCAGCAAGCTTAAGAGCTGATTCTGCTTGTGTTTTGGGGTGAATAGCATCCCCCCAAGTCCTTGTCCACCCAGAACCTCAGAATATGACTTTATTTGGAAATAGGGTCTTCAGATGTAATTAGTTAGCCTGAAATGGGGTCATACTGGATTGGGGTGGGCCCAGTAGCCAATGACTGGAGTCCTTATAAGAAGAGAAAAGGCACACACAAACACACAGAAGGCCATATGACAACTGAGGAGCTCGGAGTGATGGGTCTGTAAGTCAAGGAACCCCAAGGATTGCAGGCAACACCAGAAGCTAGTGGAGATGCCTGGGACAGATGTCCCTTCAGAGCCTCCAGAAGGAACCAATCCTGCTGACATCTTGATTTCACACCTCTGGCCTCCTTAACTGAGGGGAATACATTTCGGTGGTTTTCTGCCTCCTAGTTTGTGGCCCCAGGAAATGAAGCCAACTTGTCTCCAGCACGGCTGCCATTACTCCCCTCCTTGTAGGTGGGTGCCATTTGGCCGTCAAGAGGGGAGTCTGTTGGCCTCCTTTTGAGTCTGAGCTGGCCTGAGTGATTTGCTTGACCAATAGAGTGAGGCATCTCTAACCATCTGGGACTTCTGAGGCTCCCCCGACCCAAACCGGGGCTGAAGTTTGGCTACCCTGCAACAGCCATGCTGTGAGGAAGCCCAAGCCTCATGAAGGGGCCCTGGATTAGGAGACACCAGATGGGGCCAGGGAGGGGTGAGGGGTGTGGGGCAGAAAGCAGCAGAGGGAAGGAGGGGGAGGCAGGGAGGGAGAGGGGCGCAGAGCGATCAGACACACGGTGTTAGAAGTTGGAGGGGTATCTCGATCCCGACCACCTCAGCTGATGCCATACGCATCGAAGATGAACTCACCCACCTCAACCTTTCCCAAGTTCCTGCCCCACAAAAATGTGAGCAAAGTCAAAGGGCTGCTCTAAGCCCCTAACCTTGGGGGCAGTTTGTGGCTCAGCTGGGATATTTCCACCAGCCCCTTCACAGTGGCCCTCCAGGGAGAGTGCAAGCCCATAAGCCCGTTCCTGGGACCCACCCAAACCCGACCTCCCCGCTCTGTAGGATATGCTAAACGGTGCCGTGGCCAACTCCCCCATCCTCCTCTCCAGAAGGTCAGGCCCTTTGCCCCTTGGGCTGCGCTGAGGGCTCACTCCCAAACCTGCTCCTTAGTCCTGATTCATGCGTGCTTGCCGAGACACGACCGTGGCTACCCGCACCACATGTAAGAGGGTTGCTGTATTTGTGAAAACCGAGCCATGTGCCTTGGAAGGACTTGTCCAAAGGTCAGGCACCGGTTTCCTTTTGAATCTGCTATCTTAGATATAGATAAGATGACTATGAAAGATCAAAAAAGAAATCTCAAAAATCGAGGCAGATTCTGGAAATAGTTGTTGACGCCTTCCAGGTGTGGCTTATGACAATGAACTCTACAGCGGACCCACACGCAAGAGATCGACAACACCTGCCTCCTTAGAGCCCCCTGCTTGAAGTCACGCATCAAGAGAGATGGCGGCTGTCACTTTGTCCCCATTCTGCAGAGGGGGACACGAGACTCACGGCTTGGGTCTAGAACTCAGGTCTGTCTGATCCCATCTGAAACTCCACTGACTCCGGCTGAGGTAGTCTGGACCAGCGTTTCTCTCGGGAGCTGCTTTCGGGAGGTGAAAGGTTATAGAGAGTTCTAGGACCACTCACCCTGAAAACTGGGGAAGTAGGTAGCCAGGTGGGAGGTGGGGATCTTCTCCTCGAGGAGGTCAGTTTTGTTGAGGAAGAGGATGACAGATGTGCTTTTGAACCAGGGCAGTTCCAGGATGGTGCCAAACAGGGCCAGGCTCTCCTTCATTCGGTTCTGGGTTGGGGGGAACAGGCAGGTTATTGCTCCAATGGCTGACTTGGCCCAGACAGGAGCCCCCCCACCTTCCATGTGGGGATGGGGTTGTCAGCCTAACGTCCAGGAGCCTGGGGCTCCCCAGCTCCTGGCTGGGTCAGAGGGGGTGTGCCCATGCTTTTGTGTGGCCTCTACTGGCTTGACTAGTGTCCCCCACAAGTTCATGTCCCTCTGGAACTTCAGAATGGGACCTTATTTGGAAATAGGGTCTTCGAAGATGTAACTAGTTAAGAAGAGGTCATAGTACTGGGTGATAGACACTGGGGAGGGTATGTGCTGTGGTAAGCGCTGTGAATTGTGCAAGACTCTTGATTCTCAGATCTGTACCTCTGAAACAAATAATGCAATATATGTTAAGGAAAAAAAAAGAAGAAGGTAGCGGGAGGGGAAGAATGAAGGGGGGGAAATCGGAGGGGTAGACGAACCATGAGAGACGATGGACTCTGAAAAACAAACTGAGGGTTCTAGAGGGGAGGGCGGTGGGAGGATGGGTTAGCCTGGTGGTGGGTATTGAGGAGGGCACATTCTGCATGGAGCACTGGGTGTTATGCACAAACAATGAATCATGGAACACTTCATCTAAAACTAATGATGTAATGTATGGGGATTAACATAAGAATAAAAAAATTAAAAAAAAAAACTTTAAAAGCCTTTATTTAAATAAAACTATTATGAATAGAAAAAAAAAAGAGGTCATAGTAGATTTCCACCTCTAATGGCAGAGGTCCTTATAAAGAGGAGACGTTTGGACACAGATGCAGGGGGATAAGACCATGTGACCACAGAGGCAGAGATAGGGTGACGTGGCCCAAGGATGGCCAGCGACTCCCAGAAGCAGGGAGAGCGAGGGACAGAGTCTCCCTCACAGGCTCAGGAGGAACGAGCATGGCCGACATGCTGATCCAGGGTGTGCGGCCTCCAGCACTGGGAGAGGAGATGTCTGCGTATCTCTAGCCCCCAGAACTTCACACTTTATTATGGCAGCCCCAGCAAACTAGGACATGGCGGGTGGCTGCATTCGAGCAAGATCTGTGGCAGAATGACCTCAAATTCAATCTGTTTCATTTGGCCAGAGAGTCAAAATTTTAGCATCTGACCCTTGGGTCTCCAGACTGTGTGTGTGAAACTTTAATCCCTAAAAGCACAAACGTCTGAAACAAGCCAGGTCCTAATTAGGAGAAGAGTTCAAAAAAGAGCGATGCCCAGCCTTTCTGAATAAAAGCAGGACACCGACCCTGGGGCATGCCCTGTTTTCCCAGGCCAGCTGCATTGTGCTTCCTGGGGGCCACATCTTGGGGCTCGAGCATCCCTTTGAGAGAGAGAGAGTCCGGGGTGCTTGTGGATCTGTGTCTTGGACTCAATGCTCTGACCACGGAAGAGTGGAGGGTGGAGCTCAGGGCCGCGCCAGATGCACACAGACCCACTCAAGAGTGGCAGGGGCGTTTTCTGCTCAGCTGTGCATCCCGGGGCCAGCAGAAGGCGGCACCTGAGGGGGCCCTCACCTCCTGGTTGTTCTCCTCCAGACACTGGTCGTATTCGCTCAGCGAAGCTAGGTAGATGAGGGCAATCACGTTCTCGAAGCAGTGGATCCACTTCTTGCGTTCTGACTTCTGGCCCCCGACATCCACGATCCTGCCGGGAATCACCCCCTGTCAGGCCTGATCAGAAACCCCTGCCATGGCACCCCAGACCCCAGGCACGTCCAAGGCATGTCCAGATCAATATTTAATAGCAGCAGGAATTGGTGGCAGCCTCTGGCCTCTGCTGTGTTACTGCATTTCAGCCCCGTGAAGCAGGTGTTACTGTTAACTTATTTACACATGGAGAAACTGAGGCACAGGAGGGGAGACTTTGCTGAGCTTCTGCATTGGGCTGCCTGATTTCCACCCCAGGGTAGAGGACAGCAGGTCAGACACATCCGGGGTCTGCTCTGGTTCTGGCGGGTGACCTGGGGCAAACTGCCGAACATGTCCAGAACTCAGTTTCCCCAACCGTGACGTGCGCATTGTTCTGACGGGCCAACACCATCCCCTCTGTGTGTGGCCCAGGGTGAGGGCCCAGCCTCCACCTCCACACATGGCAACAAAAGCCTGAGCCCTCCCGCCTTCCTCTTCTCTCCTCTAAGAAATGTGGGTCACTGATAACAAGGCTTACGTCATTTCCCCAGGGATGGGACTGTTACCCAGGCAGCCAACAGGAAATGCCAGAAGCCCCAGAGCAAGAAGGGACTTGCCCCTTTGTGTGGTCGGGCAACTAAGGCTGGTGCCTGTGGCTCCCGATCCCTGAGACCAACCCCTCTTGTGCCTCTTCAGAAACCCCAGAGCAGAACAGGAGGTGCAGGGGTTGAGAGCGGGGCTCTGGAGACTAGACAGATGTGGGGGATGCTACTTGCCAGCCTCCAGTCTCATAGTCTCAGCTTCCTCTGAGCCCTCACTCCACGGATTAGCTCTGTCCCTGGCCTAAGAACACACTCAAGGCTTCCCACCTGAAAATCAGCACCCCAGTCCAGCCTCACCTGTGAGCTTCCCCAACCTCTATCTTCATTCCTAAACTTTGACCAATTCATCCACCCACATACTCACCCATCCATCCACCCATTTATCCATCTATCTGCCCATCCGTCCATCCACCCATCCACCCACCCACTTACCATCCACCCATCCACCCATCCACCCACCCATCCACCCATCCATCCACCCACCCATGTATCCATCCATCACCCACATATCCATCCGTCTGTCCTGTTCGTCCATCCACCCGCCTATCCATCCATCTACCCACATACTCATCCATCCATCCACCCGTCTATCCATCTATCTACCCACCCACCTACCCATGCATGCATCCATTATCCATCCATTCACCTGCCCATCCACCCACCCTCCACACATCTACACCTACATACACTCACCCATCCATCCACTCGTCCATCCTTCCATCTTTCCAATCATCCTCCCACATTCACCAACTTCTACTCTGATCTTGAGCTGATCATCACGAGCAAAGCAGGAGAATCAAACTCATTCCCTGGCCTTGTGGGGCTCTCCATTAGGGGAGGAGACCGATGGCAAACAGAAAGTTATGAACCATCCTCGTAAGGACTATGAAAAGGCCAGAAGGGCATGTTCAGGGGGTCAATCTAGGGAAGCATGGGACTCAATATGGTTGAAGTGAACACAACCCCTGTGTCCAGTCCTCACCCTGCACCCTCCAGAGTTCCCTGCCATGAACCTACAGACAGGGAGCTTGCTGAGGTCACAGATAACCCTCTCACCACAATCCCAGAAATCACTGCTCTCAGTGTACTCTTCCTGATCTCGCCTTAGTCTTTGACACTGGTCATCATTCTGCCTGGATGGCCCCATGCTGCGCTGGCCACTCACACCTGTGCCTTGCAGCTCAGGCCTGTGTACGTCCAGCCACCTCCCAGATGCCCCAGATCCCTCAGACTCTAGTGCCCTGAACGACTTCATTGTCTAATTGAATACCCCATGCTGCCGCCACCACATATTGACCCCATCACCTTGATTCTCGGATTTTTACACTCATCTAGTCCTGCCCATTTTACACCCGAAACGATTTTTGCACCATCCCTTCATTTCCATCCCCATGACCACTGCCCTGGCCCTTACCAACCTTTCCTGCCTGGATCATGGCTCCTGCCTCCTCCTGAGTCTCCTGACCTCCAGCCTCAGCCCCTCAAGGGGATCACCTCTGAGCTTCCCCAGCCCTGAATCAATCCCTCTGGAATATCACTGACCACACAGTCTCTGTCTCCTCCTACCTAGCAGTCCTTCAAGACTTATCCTAGTGAACTCCTATTCATCCTTCAATGTCTTAATACCAATGTCCTCTCCTTAGGAAGACCTGGCCTCCTAGAGCTCTGGTCGCCCCACTCTGGGCTCTTCCAGGTCTCAGACCTGACTGCAAGGGGGCTGAAGGTGTCTAGATCCAGCTCTGCCCCCTTCAGCCTGGAAGCCCCTTGAGGACTGGGACTGGGAAACTCCTACTCATCCTTCAGGGCCCCAGTTCCTTTGCCTGCCTATAGGAAGCTTCCCCCGACTCTGGGCTGTGAGCTCACCGCAGGTTGGTCTTCTGCACGGAGAAGCAGTACTCATTGATGCCGGTGGTAGGCATGCGGCTTCGGAGCACATCCTGTGCTGTGGGGATGTAGCCCTCCTCGGTGATGCGCTCCAGGTGGGACAGGTAGCTGTGGAGTGAGGAGCCCTGAGGCCCAGTCTTGCAGACTTAGTTTGTTTCTCAGACCCCCCACCCAAAGCCCAGTGAGGCCCCTGCTCGGGGAGGGACCAGGATCTCTGGGTCTGCAGGTAGCCCAGAAGCATCACCCTGACGCTGTAGGAACATCGGGAAGAAGCCGTCTCACCCTCAGAGCAGCAGGACCTCAAGGACAGTGTGAACTCAAGAACAGTCTCACTGTGGGGGGGGGTCACCTTCGGGGAGCTGTCACCCAGTGGCAGTGTCCCAAGAAAAGCCCCAGCTGTCACATCACCCTAGATACCCAGCATGGTACTCAGGACAGTGTCACTGTGTGATGATGAGCAGCGTCACCCCAGGAATGATGTCACTGCAGGTCAGTGCCCCCCCCAGGAATGACATCACTTTGGAGCAAGACCATCCATAGCCAGCCCACCCCACCGCATGTCCCACATCAGGAGCCCACCAGCCTGGGCCCTGTCTGTCCAAGAGCAATCCCTAGGAGGAGTTCATCAGTGGCTGCCTCTCAGCTGTGCCCTGCACCCCACACCTGCCGCCCGTGGGCCCCCGACTCACTACACGGCCGAGTCGAGCAGGTGGAACTCTCGGCGGCGCTCATAGCAGGCCCGGATGCCGGCGTCCCTCCACAGCCACTGCATGGCCACGGCGTAGCGCTTCTCGAAAGTGGTCACTTTGTATGGGTCCTGGCTCATGACCAGACTGGCATAGTGCTGGGGAGGGATGCACAGGGCACGTCAGGGGCGGGACCACCCTACACACATGCCTGCAAGCCACCTCCTCTCTCTGCTATGGAGCCCCCTGCACACTGCTGTCCCGCTCCACCCCTCTGCTCTGCTCCTTTCTTCCCACACGAGTTTGTCCCCAGATGGAGGGCAGAGGGGCCGCAGAGAACACAGGTGGACGTCAGTTCTGGTTCCTGGACACCTATGAGTCAAGTCTCTACAGGTGCCCCCACCACAGACTAGATAACGCAATGAAGCCCCATGGCCAGGTCTCTCGGGGAGGTAGAGGCACGTGCAGTCTGAGCCGCCTGCCCAGTGGCCCCACGTTCTCCCCTTCTTCCTCACAGCAACCTCCTCTCCATCTCTCCTCCTTTCTTTCCAGCAAGAAGGCATCAGTGCTGATCAGAATCCTGCGCTGGTGTGGGCACACATGTGGGTATGTGGGGGGGGGGGCTTGCATATGCCTGTGAATCTGCGTGTGTGTGGGTGTGCATCTGGGCACATGCATGTGAGCTTGTGTGGATCTGTGTGTTCCTGAGACTGGGAATGTGACTAAGATGTCCACGATCTCTAATTAACCCTGTACTGAGGTCCTTGCCAGTGCCATACGACGGGGAAAAGAAAGGAAAGGTGTCAGGTTTGGAAAGGAGCATGTTATGCTGTGGTTATTCACAGGTAACATGATTATATGTAGAAAATCCAAAACAGCCTAGAGATGAGCTATCAGAATAAACCGGTTAACTTAGCAAGGTCCCTGAATGCAAGATCAATAAACAAAACCCAAATGGGTGGCTATATATTAACCACGAATCAGTGGAAATTTTTAAAAATTTAAATCCTCAAAAACTAATGATGTAACGTATGGTGATTAACATAACATAACAAAATAAATAAATAAAATAATAAAAATTTAAATCCGATTTACAGTGGCACTGAAAGATATCAAATACCTAGGAATAAATCTAGCAACAGATGTGAAAGCTCCCTACACTGAAATGTAGAAAACACCACCAAGAAAAATTTAAAAGATCTAAATAATCGGAGGGCTATGCCATGTCCGTGGATTGAAAAACTCAGCATTTTTTTTAAGCTGCCAATTCTCCCCAAATTAATCTACAGATTCCATGCAATTCTACCAAAATCCCAGAAAGGTGTGAAGGGGTGTGTGTGTGTGTGTGTGTGTGTGTGTGTGTGTGTGTGTGAGCAAAAACTGACAAGATAATTCTAAACTTTATGTAGAAAAGCAAAAGGACCCAAAGTAGCCAAGACAATTCTGGAGAAGAATAAAGTGGCAGGATTTACACTAACAGGCTCGAAGCCTAGATATTAGGAAGCTACAATCATTAACATGAAGTGATATTCACTCAAAGGTAGATAAATTGACCAATGGAACAGAAGATCATTAGCAGGTCCAGGCACATTTGAACACTTGATTTATCACCAAGATGAGACTGTGGTACAGTGGGAAAAGCATAAGAGGCACTAGCATGATTGAGTATCTGTCCTGGGGGGAGCAGGGGGCGGGGATGGTGGGATGGAGGGAAAGAAACATAATCCCTGCCTCACACCCTACACAAAAATCAATTCCAAATGGAATGTAAATATAAATATGGAACAATAAAGCTCCCTTTAAATGACAGCAATAGAGAGTCTCATCATGACCTTGGGGGGAAAAACATCTCAATCTGGCTCCAACCTCCCCCTCCAACAACACACTATTAACCAGAAGATTGACACACTGGACTTCATTGAAATTAAGAGCTATTCATCCAGACACCATGAAAACAGTGAAAATGCAAGGAACGGATGGGGAGAAAGTATTTGCAAAATACATAACAAAGTGCTCGTATCTAGAACATACAAAGAATCTGCTACAAATCAGTAAGAAAAAAACTGACAATACTTTTTTTTTTCAAATGGGCAAAACTAAAAACAAAAACAAAAATGGGCAAAAGTTTTGAACAGGTGCTTCACAAAATGGAATACCCAAGTGTCCAACACGTATATGAAAAGCTGTGCAGCCTCCTTATTAACCAGGGAAATGCGAATCAGAACCACAATGAAATAAGACCAAGAACCCACCAGAATGGCTAAAACGAGGGGACAGCATCAGGTGTTGGCTAGGATTTGGGGCAAGCAGAACTCTTCACATGCTGCTGCTTGGGGACAGTTTGGTGCTTCCTCCTTACCTAATCCACTTTATGATCCACATCGACTTCTATGCAGATACCCAACGGAAATGCACAGTTTTGCATAAAATATATATGGTAGAAAAGAACAAATCACAACTATGCCCCCAACGATGGAAGAATTCCAGATGCACTATGCGGTGCCAAAAGCCAGACATGGCAGAACATTCCGTCTAATTCCATGTAGGAGAAGTTCAAAAATAGGCAATATGCTGATGGGAGACGGGATAGTGGTTAGCCCGGGGGGGTGGGGTAGTGATGTCGGGAAGGGGCCTTTGGGGATACGTTCTGCTTCTTGTCCCGGGCAATGGTTACACACGTGTCTTTGCTTTGTGATGATTCACTGAGCTCGCCAGCTGGCTTCTTTGGCACGTGTGTTACATCCCAATAAAAAACGTCATTCTGTAAAGCAAAGCAGCATAACCAAAGGTGGTGGTGTGGTTGGTGGGTGCTTATCTTTGGTCTTCCACTTGTGGACTGTGAAAATTGAGCCAAGTGTCTCCCCCTTCCTTGAGCCTCCTGTTTCTCACCTAGGAGATGGGGACAATGGCACGCAGCTGGAAGGGGTTTCGTCCCATCTACTGATGCTTACTGTGCCCTACTACACTCCAGGCACCGTTTTGAGAGCTTTCAGCACTTTTAATAGATCACATTCTTCTATCAGCCCTGTGAGGAAGGTTCTACCAGCCCCAGTTGCTCTTCTGAGATCCTTGGACCAGCTCAGATTCAAAATCACAAGCTTTCTGATTTGAGAAAGGTGATGTCACCTCACACCTGTTGGAATGCCTATTATAAATACCAAACAAAGGACAGGTGCTGGCAGGGATGTGGCAAAGCTGGAACCCTTGTGCCCTGTTGGGGGAAATGCAAACTGGTGCAGCCGCTGTGGGAAACAGCATGGAGGTTCCTCTAAAAAATTAAAATAGAACTACCGTGTGATCCCACAATTCCACTTCTGAGTGTCTAACCAAAAGAACTGAAATCATGATCTTGAAAAGATATTAGCTTCCCGTGTTTTCTGTAGCACGATTCACAACGGCCAAGGTGTAGAAACAACCTAAATGCCCATCAACAGATGAATGGATAAAGAAAAAATGATGCGTGCATGCGCACGCGTCCTCACGCTGGAATATTACATAGCCTTAAAAAAGAAAGGGATTCTGCAATAGATAACAACACTAATGAACCTGGGGGACATCGTGTTAAGGGAAATAAGCCAGTCACAGAAGGACAAACACTGCAGGGACGTGGTCCCACCCTGAGGTCCAGAGGGTCCCACCCAGCTTGAAGCCCAGCAGGAGAGGCCCCAGGATGCTCACACTGCTCTCAGGCCTGCCGAAAGGGATCTGCAGCCGGTCCATAGCCTCAATCATGGCCCGCATGGAGACGAAGATGTTCTGGTAGACGAGGGGCCGGAAGCCCTTGCGGTCCTCCTCCGAGTAGCCCGCCCCGTGGATGATGCGCATCTGCTTGATGAACGTGCTCTTGCCACTCTCACCAGGCCCTGGGGAGGCACACGAGCAGCTCAGCCCTGGGGCTCCCGCCACCCACCACCCAAGCCTCCAGGGCTCAAATCCCGGCTCAGCCAGGGCCGCACTCTGTGACCCTGGGCGAGCGCCTTCACCTTCCGGGCCTCAGTTTCCCCAGTTGTAAGACAGGGTTTGCAACAGACCCTTCCCGCTAGCTCCCAGGAAAGGAGCTCACTGTAAGGGGCTCCCGGGGGGGATCAGCAAACTATGGCCTGACGGCCGATCCAGCTGGCTGCCGATTTCTGCGTGGCCAGCAAGTTTTTACAGTTCGTTTGGTAGCTTTTGCATCTCTAATACTTTTTACAGTTGTAGTTTTTACATTTCTAAACGACGGAAAGGAATTAAGAAAAAAAAAATACTTTCGTCACACGTGGAAATGATATGAGATTCGTGCGTCAGTGCCCGTAAATAAAGTTTTATTGGCACACAGTCACGCCCGTGTGTGTACAAATGGTCTATGGCTGTTTCCTCACCACAACAGCAGAGCTGAGCAGGTGGACAGAGACCGCCTGGCCCCCAGCACTGAAAATACTCACCATCTGCTTGTACAGGAAAAGCTCGTGGACCCCTGGCCTGCAGCATGCCTGGACACAGTAAGTGCTACATTGGCGTTCACTATGCTCAGTAACAGCAGCATTGACTCTAGTTAGAACTGCTGTTATTATTATTTGCTATGATAATTTCGGGCAGAGAAACTTTTATGAAGGAAATACAATAGAATAAATAGTGTTTAGCTGACTATAGCTGAATGCCAGGGAAGGCTTCTCAGTGAAGGTGACTTGTGGAGTTGAGATCTGAAGTCTAGGAAGGTTGCTCTTGTGCCAAGATGTGGAGGAAGGGCACATCATGCAGAGGGCACAGCCCGTGCAAAGGTCCTGGGGCAGAACCAGGCCTGGTGTGTTGGAGAACAGCGAAGATGCCATGTGGCTGGAGCAGGGTGGGTGAGGGAGAGAGAGGGAGGAGGGGAGGGCAGAGTGGGGATGGGGCAGGTGGTGCAGGGCCTCAGGGACCATGGAGAGGACTTGGACTTGGACTTTGATTGACCCCAGGAAGGTGGGAGCCCTGGAGGGCGGTGGGGAGTGGTACTCCTGTCCCAGGTCCTCACAGGCATCCTCTGGCAGGGGGTGCAGTGAAGACAGGCTGTGGCAGGCAAGGGCAGGAGCAGGGGTTCCGGGGTGGAGGTCTAGCTAAGTGATGATGGGGGCTGCACCCAGGTGGAGAGAAGGGAACGTTTGAGAGATGTTTGGAAGATAGACTCAACAAGACCTTGCTGAGGGACCAGAGGGGTCCTTGCAGGGCCAGCTACACAATTTGTGGGGCCAAGGGCAAGATGAGGCCCTTCTGAGCCCAGGGCACTGTGGGCCTGCCCCGGCCTCACACCCAGGAAGCCGGCCCTGGGCTTGTGACAGTAACACTTGGATCTTCAACAGCCCGGGGCTGGAAGCTCAGAGACCAAGGCTCAACGCCCCGCTGTCTGAGCTCTGGACTCTCCCTCTCTGTGTGCCTCTGTTTCCCCTTTTGTCAAGTGAGTGTGACAGCCAGGCAGGAGGTGTGGGACCAGGAGGCCCCTCCAACACCTTCCTGCCCTGCCCAACTCCAGGGGGACACTGGCAGGGGGTCCTTCCAGGGACAGGGTGGCAGACTGGAAGGAGGAACAGGAAGCAGCAGAAAAGGAAGGGGTGGTCTGGCTGGAGACCAGAAAGAGGAAATGGGGCAGAGGGAGCAGAGGTTGGGGGGAGGGTGGGAAGCAGAGAGAAGAGGAGGTGCCGTCTTGCATCACCACCCCCCAGAAGCTCCCTGTCCCCACGTATCTGAGGGCAACAAGGGCAGGCCGGGGTGACACCAGGTATTCGTTAAGTCCACTGGACTCGAGGTCCAAGAGAAAGAGGTGTTTTTCTCTTGTCCTGAGGGACATTGGCAGGGAAAGGGGAGAGTGGCCAGGCTGTGAGTCAGGTGTGCGGGCCAGGCTGGTGGAAGGTTCTGCACGGCGCTCATCACCTGCTCTTGATCCTCATCCTGGGAGGGTCCCTGCTTTGTGGTGGGACTCAAACCCATGAAGTATTTAGGGGTAAAAAGCTGTCAGGCCTGCAACTTACTTGCAAACAGTTCAGGGGGATAAAAAATGAGTATGTATTGTATTAAATACACGAATATATAGTAAAACAAATTATAGATATAAGTATTCGTTATATAAATTACGAATATACACACATATCTGGATACATAGAGTGTGTACACAGAGAGAGAGGGAGAGAGAGAGATGGAGGACAGAAGGAAAATGGTAAAATGTCAACATTTGCAGAAGAATCGGGCGCCACTTTTCCGCGAGGTCTGAAAGTATCTCAAACTGAAAAGTGAGGATGCTGAAGGGGACGCCCGAACAGAAAAAGGGCCCCAGCGGAAAACCAGTCACATTCCGAGTCGGGCATGAATTTCCCAGCCGTGACAAACGTGCTGTGCTCTCCGACATGTGAACTCGAGTGGAAGCCGTTTAGGAGTCAACAGGAACCCTCTGTACTACCTTTGCCATTTTCCAGTACATCTAAAATTATTCCAAAATAAAAAGTTTCCCCCAAACACCCAAACATCCCACGCCACGGGTCCACAGGCTGAAACTCTCCAACGCGGAGCCGTATGTGTCTGAGATTACGGAATTTCTTGGGTTCTAGGAAGGGATGCATCCAGCTCACCAAATGTCCCTGCGGGGGGAATGTCCGAGAGAATATCACAGCCGGAGTCAAGCCGAGGAGCCCGGGGCGGGGGGTGGGGGGTGGGGGAGAACACCCAGCCCCCGAACACCTGCAACGCAGCATGGCAGTGGCGGCCGTGAGCCCGGACCGAGGGACGGCTCTTGGCTCACTCTTCGTGTGGGGAAACTGAGTCCCAGATAGGCTGATGGGATTGCCGTGGGCCATGCAGCTGATAAGTGGCCGAGCCGGGACGTAAACCTCATAAACCTCGTTCCGTCTGAGTCCTGGATTTTAAGTAGGATACCAGAAAGATCCCCATAAAGATAATCACAGCAAGCGTGATTTAACTCTTGGCGTTTGCCCAGCCCTGGGCCAAAACAGTCCGTGCCTGTCCTCAGTCGATCCTCACAAAGATTCCCACTGGCTTACCATCTGCAGATGACACCCAAGGATCAGAGAGGTGAGGTGATTTTCCCAGGGTCACACAGCCAGAGGAGAAGCAGAGCAGTAAACTCAAGCCCTTACGGTCCTGAGCCAACAAAATGGGATACGGCCAGCCAGCCAGGGCAGGCATCACCCGAGTATCAGACGACGTCACCTGAGTATCAGATGACGTCATCCGAGTATCAGATGACGTCATCCGGCCGCAGACACTCAGAAGCTGGACAGCTCCTGCGGGAGGGGGCGTACTGAGGCCAGTGCAGGGGACTGCGTCCTTTGCCCTCTCAGACCTTGGTCTCCCCCAGGAGTGTGGAGGGCAAGCACAGGTCTCACAAAGCAGCAGCTAACTTGCTTTTCTTCTCTTCTCTTCTGTTTCGTTAAAGGGAAAAAAAAAAAATCCTGGCCACCACCCACAAGATGGATCGTGTGACTCACGGATGGGTCACAGGCTGAAGTCTGAGCACTCCAGCGGGTGGAGCCCCCTCTTTGCAGCCCAGGGCTATCCTGAAGCCAGGAAGGACTCTGGAACTTCTCCAGGCCCAGGCTCCCGGTCGGCTTCGGGACCCCCCACCTCACCCCGTGGGGCTGGGGGCCGCAGGGAGAGCTCTGCCCACCTGGCAGGTCAGAGGGAAGTGACTGCTTCCTTCTGGGGATGGGTGAGGAAGCGGAACCTCGCAGACACCAGGAGGGGCTGTGCCAACCCCGGGCATCATGAGACACCGTGAGCCTCCTTCCCTAGTGGGTGGCCGCTCCAGGAAATGGGGCCTCGGGGTCACAGGGAGCCAGGCCTGGGCAGCTGGAGGGCAGGCAGCTTGACATCTATGTCCAGCTCAGGCTCAGACAGGCTGCCGACCCCAGCCCAATCCTGCCACCTCCCTGGGCCTCAGTTTCCCCATCTGTCATTGGGGAATCGGGGCTTTTCTCTCCAGGGGCACATTCACAGGCAGGTCAAATGCATGGGCTTTGGAACCAGAATTCTAGGTTCTGATCCTGGCTGTGTGACCTTGGGCAAATTGCTTCACCTCTCTGGGCCTCGGTTTCCCCATCTTATCTATCTCAGGCACTGCAGACAGAGCTGGCTCCTTTAATGGCTTCATTCTGATGCCCCACACTCCCCAATAGCCAGTCGCTTCCTGTCCAGGACAGACCCCTGGCTCCTCAGCCCACTTCCTCAAAAAGATCAGCCACCTCCAGGAAAAAATAACTTTTGGATTCAATTCCTGTTTTCAAGAAGGAAGGGGTGGTGTGAAGGCCGCCCTCGGAGCTGGGGGTGGGCGGGGTGGTCAAGACCACAGTCCACAGGGCCACCATCAGCACGTGGGACATGGACAACCTCCCCTCCCCCCACCTGACACCAGCAGAAGGGGCTTCCAGATGCGGGGCTGGCCCGGCGTGGTCAGAGCCGTGTAGGGGCAAGGGACCGCCCAGCTCTGGTGCAGCTCCAGGGAAAATCGCCCCTGAAACAGGACTCACCATTCCCTTATTCATTTATAAAGTTTGCTCTGGGCATCCGCTCTCTGTCAGGGTCACCATGCTCCTGGGCCGGATGCTGGGGACCCTGGGAATGAACGAAAGAGACACGGTCCCCACCTTTGTGCTGTTTGCTGTGTCACTGGAGAGACAATGAAGAACAGTGAACAAGTCTAAGAGAATGTCAGTGGGTGAGCGCTCGGAAGAAAGATCAAGTGGATCAAGTGGAGGAAAGAGAAGGGTGGACGACCTTTGTAGTCAGCGAGTCCTGGAAGACTTCTCCGAGGAGGAGACACATGGGCCATGCTGCCTGGAGTGAGAGCACCAGCTGTGCGGAGGCGTGGGTGACGCTGACAGGTCCTAGCAGGAAAACAGCATGTGCAAAGGCCCTGAGGTTCGGGTATATGAACTTGAGGTGTGCAAGGAAAGATCACTGACACTGATAAACCCGAGCCTGATGGACGGAGGAAAAGCAAGCAGATGGAACCAAAGAGAGGACACCACCCCAAATGCTCTGGGCCTGAAAAGGATGATGAGGGGCCTGTGGTAGACAACTGGATGCCCATCCCTTTGACAGCTTCGAAGAAATGGACAAGTGCTTTGACAGGCACCGACAACCAAAAATAGCCTAGCTAGCCCTAATAATATTATTATTAAAAAGTAATCAATCACACATCATCTATCATACCTATTATTGCTGTAATAACCTACCTGGTCTGAAGAAATCAGAGATAGCTATTAAAGTAATTAAATTCTTAATTAAAAGCTTCCAGGCTCAGACAGCCTCATTGGTGATTTTACCAAAGTGGTGGGGTTTTTTGTTTTTTTTTATTTGACAGAGAAAGACACAGCAAGAGAGGGAACACAAGCAGGGGGAGTGGGAGAGGGAGAAGCAGGCTTCCCGCCGAGCAGGGAGCCCGATGCGGGGCTCGATCCCAGGACCCCGGGATCATGACCTGAGCCAAAGGCAGACACCTCACCGCCTGAGCCACCCAGGCGCCCCAGATTTTACCAAAGTTTACAAAATAGTCCATGAAAAAAAGCAAAGAAGCCAAGTGGCCACCAAAGGATTATGGGAGGAAGGAGTAGGAGCTGGGGTCTGAGAGGCCACGGGGCCAGAGCCTGGACCCGACAGGCCATCCCCGTGCCAGCTTCCTTGGAAAACTAAATGCAGGCGGGGGGGGGGGGGGGTGTCTTTTACCGGAACTGCGTGTAAGACTAGAGTGAGAAGGGCCCTGATTCAGGCGCGGCCCCGGGGGCCCCATGCTTTCACTCCTCGGGGTCCTTGGGGTCCTTGCCCACCGAGCCAGGGAAGAGCGAGGCCAGCGCACAGATGGCCAGCCTCCTGGCCCAGGGCCGGCCGGGCGGCAGCTGTGACTCGGGGACACCTGACACCTTCCCCACACCCCGCCCCCCACCCAGCCGGGGCTCAGGTTGTCCCGTGCAGGGCAAGGTCCGTGGGGAATGGACATGCGAGCGGGACAAGACTTGATGCTTCCTAGGGCCGCAATCTCAGAGCCTTACAACCCGCCGAGCCCGTCACTCCTCCCTCCCACCCTGTTTTCTTTTCCTCCTTGCTCTTCTTGCCGCCGGAAATTATTTTATCTGCTCGTTGGTTTACGGGCTAACGTCTGTCTCCCTCAGGGCAAGATGAGGTCCACGGAGGCCGGGACATTGCCCATGTCCGTAGCTGCTGCACCCCAGGAGGTATTCACTGTTTCTTGATTGAATGAATGAATGCATGAATGAGTCAACCCGCCCGTCACTCAGGCAGGGCCCACTGACAATGCTCTGCCCAGGGGACTCCGCGGATGGTCAAGTCCTCCGTGGGGCGGGCCGCGTGGCCGGGGAGAGGGCGGGAGGGCCTGTGTGGACGGCCAGCCGGCGAGGCCTGGGCAGGCTGCAGACCTGAGCTCCTGACTCTGCAGCCGGATCCGGTAGGGCGTGCTGGGCCTGCCGCCCCCGGGCCGCCTCCGCTCCGGCACTCGCCCTGCCAGGCGCCCGGAGCCGGGTGTCTCTGTGCCTCGGTCTCCGCGCCCAGAAATGGGCTCCCAGACTCTGCCAGCCTGGCGGGGGCCGCGTCCCGGTCCCCGTCCCGGTCCCTGCCGGCCCCGCCGGCCCCACTCACCCAGCAGCAGCAGCTTCAGCTCCCCGCGGTCCCGTTTCTTCTGCTCCAGGAGGATCCTGTTGATCTCCTGGTCGATGCGGGCCGCTGCCTTCTCGTCCTCGGTCAGGCACCAGGGACAGCAGCTCCAGGTCAGCGAGTGGGCCATGGTGGGGGCCTCAGCGGGCACGAGGCGGCATGGCCCCGGCCCCGGGGAGGGCACCCCGCCCGGCCGGCCCGGGGAGGGCTCCTGGCCGCCGCCGCGGGGGGCTGCGCTCTTCTGGGGGGATCACCCCCAGGGACCCCTGACTTCCCGGCCTCGGGCACCGGGCGCCCAGCTCAGCCAGGCCTGAGTGCCCAGCACAGGCGGGCGGGGGCAGGAGGAGGAGCCCAAGAAGGTGTGGAGGTTCAGGGCTCCCCGACCATCTCCAGACCTGCCCGCCCGGCCCTGCCAAACTGGTTGAGGGTGTGTGGCCCTGGGGAGGGCGGGCTGCCCTGAAGGAAAGGCCCTGGCCGCAGTCAGCCTACCACAGCGTCTGCTGGGCCCTCCTTCCTCATTCTGGAGAAGGGGGTGGACTCCATCCTCCCTGGGCCTCTGACACCACCTCCGGGCTGGCCCCGGGCCCACCCCTTCTTCCCCTCCACGGAGCCAATTAGGAGACATCATCAGAGGGCCAATAACGATCTTTTTCAAAAAACAGTGAAGGCCAGGGCTCCCATGTACGAGAGTTCCTGTTACCCCGCATGTGCAGATGAGCAAACTGAGGCACAGAGCCAGGAAGTGACGTGCCAGGACAGCCCCAACAGCGGCGGCAGAAGGACCAGACGGGGCTGGGAGTCCGCGGGGCCCCAGGCTCCAAGCGCTGACCAGGCAGCCCTGGGGAGGGGCTGTTCCTTCTTCCTGCAAATATTTACTGAGCACCTACTGTGTGCCAGGCAAAGGACAAAAGGACAAAACCCCCGGCCTCCCTGCCTAACATCTCAGATAGAGACACGGATGAAGAAACACAGTTTTTAAACATATTCCAGCCTGTTGGGTGGTGATACATTTATTCTGAACAAAAAACAAAGCAGAGCAGGGGGCAGGGGATGTTGGGGTGCTGGGGCTTTAAATAGGGGGTCAAGGAAGGTCACACTGACTGGCATCAGAAGAAGGAGCTGAAAAGGCAGCCTGGGCGTAGGGGGACCTTGGGAGTTGAAGCCGTTCAGGGAGAGTTCAGGGACTCTATGGGCGAGGCCACGGGGCCACCTGACCCTACCCCCTGAGCCCCCAGGACCCTAGAAGCAGGATGGTGACAAAGCAAGGGGAATGTCACGGCCGCTTCCTGGACGGACGCTCGCAGCAAAAGGGGAGGTCTTGGGTTGTCTCCAATCCCGTAGATCTTTGCCCTGTTTGGGTGCAGAACCCCCTTTAAGAGGTTCTAGAAAGCTCTAGAAAGTTCTGGAAAACCCCTCCCCCTGGAGGTACGCATAATTCGGGAGCCTCTGGCCACCTCTCAGATGGTGGTAACAAGGCTCAGAGAGGGTGAGAGAAGAGCCTGGATCACACAGCAGCAACCGTCGGCCCTCCCCCACGCACGGCTGGCGAGATTGTGTGGTTTCCTTTGCTGTTGATTCATAACGAATGGCAGATGGGAAGTTCGATAGGCACCCCCCCCCCCGGTTGGGTCACTGGGGCTGGTAGGCGCTGCCCTGCTCACCCGCCCTCCTGCCCACAACCGGATGGCTGTGAGGAGAGGTGCTCCCCAAGGCTGGAGGCCTGAGCGACTTCCCACTCTTGGGGCCGATGAAGAAAAGCAGAAATAGGTCTGAGCCAGGCAGAGCTGGGAGGGCCACAGAACAGAAAGAACCAGCTTGGCAAAACCAGGAGGCCGGGCTGAGTCACAGATGCACAGGACACGGAGGGGCCCCCCCTGCCGAGTGTTTCCCTGAGGGGACACCAGGCCCCCACAGGCCACAACAGGACCAGGGTGTGGGGTCCTTGGCTTACCATCTTCCGTGGCTGCCAGGGGCCTCAGAGAAAATGAACCAGCTCCTCCATCCCCACCCCTCTAGTGGCCCAGCCT